TGACAATGTCCCAAGTGTTATTTTTCTGAAGAGCATTTAACTCATCGTGTATTGTATCCCTCCACTGGTTAGTTAGCGTAGCTTCATGTACATCAATTGGAGCTTTATCATTCAAACAAGCCATATACATCTTAAGATTGAAAACACCGCATTTACTTCTCGTTAGTATAGAGTGTTTATTTATATTGACTGCAGGTTCACTATTCAGCTCATTAGCAACATTTGTAGCCTCTGGACCATCAATTTTCCCAATACTATCATGGGAATTACTCTTGCCAGTACTGACTTCATTACTAGGACTTACATGACTCAGGGCATTAGCTGTTTCTTGAACACGTGTGCTACCACCTGTAGCATTACTACTATTTTGTGACTATAGACTTGCACCAACTTCTGGACTAAAGTGTTGACTAGAGTTACTAGGCAAATGTGTAGGGCACATTTGACCAGCTGTCTGATACCTACGAACATCAGTAACTACTTCCAAAGCCTGATACTAACATCGAGAACCACCCAGCTTTGTACCCTCGTCAAACTCACGTGCAAAAGGAAACAACCCCTCATAAAAAACGTGTCTCGAGATATACACTAGATCACTCTTTGCAAGACATAAGAACCCTTTATGCTTACCATTGTACCCCAAAAAATGCATGCCTGGGATCTAAAATCAAGTTTGTGTTTTTGGAAAGGTCGCAAATGTGGAAAACATATGCACCCAAAGACTTTCATGGCACTGTAGTCAAGTTCTCTACCATACAACTTTTGGAACGGAGACATATCGTGTAACACCTTTGTGGGCAGCCTGTTTATTATCTGCACAGCATACAACCAGTACCGAATAGGAATGGACGCTTGAGCAAGCAACACTAGGGTAAGTTCAACTATATGACAGTGTTTCCGTTCAACAACGTCGTTTTGCTCCGATGTGTGAGGGTAAGAAACTCGATGAACAATGCCTGCCTTGCTCAGTTCTGAGGATAACACCCTATACTCACCACCAGTCTATTTGTAAGGCCTTAATAGACGAATTAAACTGAGTAGTACTAACAAGTTTTTGAAACAGCTAAAAAGTTGTTATTGATTCAGATTTATCTTTCAAAAGATATAACCGTGTATGGCGAGTGCAATCATCCAAAAAAGTGACATAGTAATAAAACCCATTTGATAAAACATGAGGAGACCCCCAGAGATTAGAAAACACAAGCTCAAAAGGAGTATTATACATTGTATTGGAAGAACTGAAAGGAAGCTTATGATTCTTTCCCATATAGCAAGCTACACACACTTTATTAATATCATTTGTTACCTTTATATTGATGGACCTCTAAACCTTAGTTAAAGTATCATTTGCAGGGTGACCTATCCTCCTATGCCACAACTTAGTAGAATCAATAACAGAAGTTACACTATTGGCTTCAGCGGTTTTACATTTACTCAATCTATTACTTAACGAAAAAGAATAGAGTCTAACTTTTTGTTTTCCCCTTAGCAGCACCTCCTTTGTAACTTCATCACAAACATGACAATCCAAAGCATGAAAAATCAAAGAAGACACAACTGTCCCTAGCAAGCTTAGATACAGAAAGTAAATTTTTTGTTATTATAGGAACATGAAGCAACTCACTCAATACTAACACGCGTGAAGCTAAGGTCACAATAGAATTATAAATCATTTTAACATCTAGTGAACTCCATTACCTACCACAAGCTTACATAGATTGTAGAAATCAATTTGATGCACAACCTGAGTCGCATCAGCATCCGAATCAACTACCCACTGCTCTTGCACATTGGTAGCCATATGAGCTTGTGGCTGAGCAATTGACTAGCTCCCACTATTTCCTTTATGCCCACAGCAAGTGCAATCAATACTTAAATCATGCACAGAATAATACGCATTGGTAGAACCATTATTTGACCCTGAACGACTGCCAGACGTAACTCCTGAAAAATCATGGTTAAAATGGTACCAGCAACGGTCAACCAAGTGACCATTTTCCCATAAAGTTGACACTACATGTGAGGAGACCTCACCCTCAACCTTGTCCACCTGATCGACCTCCAAATGGAGCATGATATACCTTGTGCTAATGTTAAGAATAAGCTCTGGAAGTGTTTACACCTTTACCCTTAGCAAAGCTAGCACTCATAGGTAACAACTGAGTTTGTTCTTCGAATCCTGCCAGCTGCGTCTCGACATCAATTAGCATGGTGCATATACTTTCAAAGGATATAATATCACACATAGCAGAAATGACAGTTACAAAAGGCTGATATTCTTTTGGAATCCCCTTCAAGACACTCGTCAACTGCTGAGGTTGATATCGCACTGCCACAAGATGCTAAAGCATCAGAAATTTCCTTCACTCGTGTGAGATAGACCCGCATAGTATCACTCACTTTCTTCGTAGAATGAAACTTGTAATGAAGACTCACAACTGCTGTGGTTGACCAATTGACGAAGAACTACAATACGGTGCTCCACATGACAGCTGTTGTCTCTGCCTTAACAAACTAAGGTAGCAGATATGGACTAACTGTTGACAACAACCAAGAAGAAACAACACTATCTTGGGCCAGCAATTCCTCATAATCTTCATTCGGCATTGTCACACCTTCCTCGTTCACTTCCGTCTCTAGTGGAGGCACCATTAACCCCGTGAGCATTCATTCAAGCCTATGACTCCAGAAAGTAAGCAATACTTGTTGCTTCCACAAAAGAAAAGTTGTCTCATCAAGAACAACATTTATCTTCTTGTTAATGAAGCTTTTGGTGTTTCTTGAGGACAATTCCATCTTAATAGTCATAGATTCATGTGTCGAAGACATGGCCACAGGATAGCCAGCAACGGAAGCAATCAAAGATGCACCAGGACACCAGCGAAAGATACCATGTTGAGAAGGCTAAAAGACTAGAATTATGAACAGTAATTATATTACTTCATTCACACTTTTAGGAATTACACATTGGTTTATTTATAGCCTAATTACAAGCTAACCTCCCTCACACAATCGGATAACAACTCAGTAACCAAATAACTACTGCTAACAAACTCTCTACCTAACAGACTGCTGACGCAAGCCCATGCACCAGCATGTGAACATTCTCGAACGAGCACTATTCTCGAATGAACATAATAGTGAATTCATCCAATACTCTGGAATGGATCTGTTGGCTTCCAAGGAGAAGAGTACCAAGAAAAAGGACGAAATTGCAGCTAGTTTAACAGTTATTTTTACACTAATACGGATTTGTTCATTGCGTTTGCATCAAAACGCGTCTACGGTTAAAAATTTTGACACTTCATTAATATTTTATAGGTGATACATGTCACGTGATTACTTTCGATATATAATATGTATCACATTATTACTTTTAATATATATTATATTACACATCACATTGTCATTTTTTAACATATGATATTTATCACATTATCATTTTTTATATTTCTTCATAGGATATATGTCACATCATTATTTTTGACACAAAGATATAGTGACGAAACTTAGTGATAGAGTTCAAATGAGACAACTTAAAATTTTAAAAAATTAAAAATTAAATTTTTTAAAAATTATGGAAGTTAATTAAAATATTAAAAAATTGAATATTAATATGAATTTTGAAAAATTTCGTGGGATTAAATTAAATATTTTGAAAATTTTAAAGTTTTAAATTATAATTTTTAAAATTTTGGTATCCTAACCCCCACTGATCTCTATTTTATTTCATCATTATAGAGATATATACCACATCATCAGGTTCAACATGTGATACGTGTCACATCATCATTTTCGACATACGATATGTACTATGCCATTATTTTTTATAATAGGCATGTGTAACGTCTTCTATTTCGATATGTGACATGTTTTATATCATCACTTTAAACATGTGATAGTCTCACTAGTCCTGCAACGAACCGAACGTTCAGCAAACCGTTCGTGAACCATTTGGTAGGAAGTTCATTTATGTTCGTTTATTTATTAAACGAACGAACATGAATAAGATTTTGTTTTCGTTTAATTAAATGAACGAACACAAACAAATGGCTCGTTCGTTCATTTATGTTAATTTATGTTCGTTCATTTATGTTAATTTATGTTCGTTCATTTATGTTAATTTATGTTCGTTCATTTATGCTAATTGAACGTTCGATAATATGTTCATTCATTTATGTTAATTTATGTTCGTTCGTTTATGTTTGTTGTGCGCTCATTTATGTTTAGCGCAATCTCTCTAGACCCATTTAAAATATTAAGGCCTAATAAATTTTAATATGATACCCATTAATATTTTAAAAATTCAATTAATTTTAAATACAAATAAAAAAAGCTGAAAACAATTAAACAAAATATAATCCTAAAATTCTAGGAAATAAGAAAAAATATATTTTTATTTATGTTCGTTTACGTTCGTTTATGTACTTTTTGCATCCGTTCGTTTATGCTCGTTCATTTGTGTTCGTTTATGCTCGTTCATTTGTGTTCGTTTATCATTTAAATGAACGAACACGAACAAGCTATATTCCTTAACGAATGAACACTGACAAGAATTTTCTGTTTCGTTTATGTTCGTGTTCATTCATTTGTTCGGTTAAAGTTAAACGAATGAACGAACATTAACATACCTCGTTCGTGTTCGTTCAGTTCGTTTACAAGCCTCAATTTCACATCAACAACAAGTATTGACCGTTAATTAACAAACGATTTAATATGAGTAAAAGAATTTTTCCTCAAAATAAAACTCTATAATCAATATTTAAAAAAATTAAAAATAAAAAAAAAATTATTTTATCAAATATTGGGAGTGAATTTTGATGTTTCAATTCATACATCATTATTGGGCTATTACTCAAAATGAGTCCAAGACTCAACTCAACAGAGCGCAACCGAGTTGTGAAAACCAAATGTTGGGCTGCGTTAGGCCCACAATATTCAAACCTACCAGACAACCACTAAACTAAGGTGTAAGAGCATCATTTCTCACCATTTCGAGCTTTGTTTCTCGATCACTAGCTATCCTGGAAACCCCGAAAATCACCGATCAAAGCTGAAGATGGGAACCCTTGGCAAAGCCATCTACACCGTTGGATTCTGGATTCGCGAGACCGGTCAGGCTCTCGATCGTCTCGGCTGCCGCCTCCAAGGCAACTACTATTTCCAAGAGCAACGTCAGTTTTTTCCCATTACTCTCTGCTTCTTTTCTTTTTCCATCTTCAGCTTCTATTCCTAAGCTAATATCTGCTAAGTCCAAATTGGAATATGGATTCAATCTGTGGGGTTTCTTCAGCTGATTTCAATTATCAGTTTTTTCTCTTTTCATTTTTATAGTTTACATTGTTGTTATCAAACTATTGGACTACCTCTGCATGAAAACACCAGTGTAGTTACAATTATGAACTCTGGGTTTTGTTTTTTTTTCTCCCAACAGAATCATTGATAACCTTGTTTAGTTGACTGTACTGGTTAATTGATTATTTTCTTTGCTGATTTGTGTGGAATTTGGCTTTACTTTTTATTTTTTATCGTTGCATTTGGTGTTGAAATATATGATTTTTCCTTTTCCTTTTTAGTTTTTTTCCCCTCATTGTCCACTGATTTCACGGTATTTTTCTTTTCTTTTCTTAGTTTCTAGGCATCGGACCTTGATGAACGTATTTGACAAATCTCCTCTTGTCCACAAGGATGCATTTGTAGCCCCCAGTGCGTCTGTCATTGGCGATGTTCAGGTGGGAAGAGGGTCATCTATTTGGTATGGATGTGTTTTAAGGGGTAAGATCCTTTTGCTTGTATGTCCGATTTGGTGTTTTTGTTTGATGACAATATTGTTTTAAGTCTCTTCTGAAATTATTCAAGAAAGGATGGAATCCAACTTGACGCGGATAAATTAGCACATGAAGGGTTCATGTTTATGCTAATGAACATTCAAATGAAGGATAAATTAGCATATGAAGTGTGTTTTAATTTGACAACTATATGAATAAAGATAGTAGACTTGAAGTTGATTATATCTGCACATATTCTGAATAGTTTAAATTTAACAAATGTCTATATTTATCACATTGGTCTAGAGAAATGTGGCTAGTCTTAGTGAGGGATGACACTTGTGTCAACTTTTAACAATTGATTTAGATGAATGTAGCCTGTAGATTTAAATAGTGGTTTCAACTATAAATTATTTGTATTTTTTAGTTTTGTTTTCTAGTAATGATGTTAGATATTGTCTTCATCATAGGCGCTACTATTTCCTTAACTTTATAGCATTCATAAATAAATTATGCATTCACTCTAGCAGGATGCTTTCAACTAGTACCTTATACCTTGTCTTCCACCCGGGTAACGTCCCCAACTCCAGATGCTTCTTAAAACCTTTAGTACAATCACAATGCATAAAATAACTTATTCTCCAGCAGATCAGACTTATTGTTAGCAGTATTTATCACTCTTCTAATTATAAAATGATGTTTATTTATATCACAGAGATATAAAATTTGGGTTAAAAAGGCGTTTTCAGACAATTGTTTTCTTCCCTCAAACAAAATCCCCCCGGTATGTGCACCATCTGTGTGACTGCAGTTCCTCATTATTCTAATAAGAAATTAAGAAAGTTGAAAATTGATTCTTGTAAACACCGAGGAAAAGGAAAACACACACACCTGGAGCAGAAAATGGGAGAGAGAAAAGTTAAAAGGGAAAATAGATTTCGACGAGGTCTGGAAGGCTTTTGTCGATAATCTTAATAGGACAGTTTCTCGGCGAGAGCTTAGGGATATTTTTTCGTCCCATGGAACTGTGGAGAGAGTTTTCATCCCGAAAGAAACCAAAAATCCATAATACAGATTTTCCACTTTCTCTTTTGTTCAGTTTGAGAAGGAATCTAGTTTGAAGAGGGCAATCGAGATGTTGAATGGCTCACTGATAGATGGGAGAAGGATTTATGTTGGAGTTGCAAAATACAATGATGTTCGTCCAAGGATTGTGGTAAACAAGAGTCCAGTTAAGTTGGTTCCAGATTTGTCCACAACATGACCCTCTAAGTTGAAAGAGGCAGATTTATCCAGTAGGAGTGTTAGAGATGATAGAACGTACAAAGATGCTTTACTTACTGAGGTTATGAGGATGAATGCATTGGAGTATAGGGAGAAATTTTCTGAAGGGAGCCATAGGGAGAAAACTAAGAAGAATGTTTTGGAAATGTATATCCCAACCGAGGGTCGGAGTTGGGTCAGAAGATCTTTAACGGGGATTATTAAGCTTTCTCTTGATTTCAAGTCAGTTTATGAGTTTTTCATTAGTAACGGTTATGAAGTTCAGATTGCTGGTTGGGTTATGCCCGTAATTCCTGTGCTATCATTTTCAAATCTCAAGAGGAATGTCGGAGGCATCCTTTTGATGTTCCCGAATTCATTACTCTCGGTTCCTATGGTAGATCGTATAGAGTCTCCATCAAAGTTGGATCGCCCAGTGAAGATTCAAATCCTTTTTTCAAATTTTCTCCGGTGACCGGAGTAGTTGGGAAACAGTTTAGTGAGACGGGGTCTGAGGAAGGCGATAATAGGGGAAGTTTAGTGAGACGGGGTCTGAGGAAGGCGATAATAGGGGGAAGTCAGATTATGAGGAAAGTTCAGTCAAATCAGCTGAGATGTTCAGACAAAAGGTTGACTTGTGGATTGATGAGGGCATGTCCTTTGGCTCAGAAGGTACTGATGGGGAAAAACATCTTCCAAGACTTACTAAACATGGGAAAAGTATTAATGAAGGAGTGTCAGATGGTCAGAACGTTGGGAATATCAGAGGTGACTTTGCAGGTCTGGGTATCAAATTTTCAAAAAGTTCGGCTGATGGGCCAGAAGCCCAATCTGATGACATTAAACTGGTTGGTTTGGAGGCTTCTAACATAATTCCTTCTGGGCCAGCTTATACAATCAATAAATTTGGTAAATTGGTTCAAAATAGGGGAATTGCAGAAGCTAGTTGTGCCATAAAACAATATAAGGGGTTCTGCTCTATTCCAGGTTCGGGCAGTGCAGATCTGGAGGTTAATAAAACTAACTCTAAGCTGACAGTCCCTAATTCAGAACTATCAAGCTTATCAAGGGGCAGAACGAGGGCGGTGCATAGTTCCCTTTCTACAAAAAGTGAGCCTCTTCAGAGGAGGAAAATGGCCAGCTTCAGAAGAGTCTACAGAAGATGTAAGGAGAGGAATTACTGGTATGGGAATGATCAAAAAGGAGATAATGCTATAGAGGATGTTATAGGTCTAAAGTAGGCTAATGAACAGGCTAATACGACGGTTCTCCAGATTACTACAACAGCAGAGACTAATTTACGGGGCAGCGAGGTTCCAAACTTAGTGGATAAAGCTGGTGCCAGTAGTTTAGTTGAAGAGTCTGAGGGTTGTGTTGAGGAAAAACATTTGTCTATCTGCAATTCTGACACTTCTAGAGATGGGAAAAAAGAATTCTGGTCAGAGAAGCTTTAGAGCACGTCAATATTTATACAGCATCTTCTTCAGGTTTCTCGGAACTCTTGGATGAAGCAGTAGCTACATGGCAAGTTAGTCAGATTCTGGGGGTTTCTTTTACACAGACTTGGATAAAATCATTGAGTTGGAGAAAGGTCTGAAGGTGGCAAACTGAGTTGCCATTTTGGGGAAATTAGATTCTTCATCAGTTTTTATGAAGGATAAACTAGCTATAATTTCATGGAATGTTAGGGGTTTTGGAAAAAGAGAGAAACAAAGAGCAGTTCAGAGACTAGTCTCTAACTCTCATCCTTCTTTTCAGAGACTACAAGAAACTAAACTCTCATCCTTCTTTTCTTTGGCTACAAGAAACTAAAACAGAGAATATCCACAGGTCTTTTTTGAGAAGGAATGGATTGAATATTTTTCCAGGGGTTATTGAATCTCCAGCTACTGGTTCTTCAGGGGGGTTATTATTTTGTTGGGATGAAAATGTGTTTGAAATGGAAAATCACAGTATTAACAGAAGATTCATTGCGGTTATAGGGAAATTCAGACTTAATCAGTTCAGAAGTATTCTCATTAATGTTTATGGACCCTCAGTGGATGAAGAAAAAGAAAGTTTTTTTGAAGAACTGAGCGTGTTCATTTCTGGATAGAATTTGCCGGTTTGTGTTGGAGGGGACTTTAATGTCTACTTGTGTGAGGATGAGAAGGTGGGCAGAGCTCAGAACAAATTTTCTATGAGGATTTTCTCTCAGTTTATTCAGTCAACAGGTCTAATTAATCTGCCTTTGAATGGGGGAAGGTTCACTTGGTGCAATAACCAAGATGATCCGACTTTTGTTAGGTTGGACAGGTTCTTGGTGGACGGACAATTCATTGCTAACGAGGGCATTGATTATTGGAGGAAGAAAGGGCTAAAGGGTTGTGTTTTTAAAGTAGATTTCAAAAAGGCTTATGACACGGTGGATTTGCCTATCTTGTTCAAGGTGATGGAAAAAATGGGTTTTGGTTCGACTTGGATTAGCTGGATCAGGAAATGTCTCTACTGCCTCCATTTCAGTGCTAGTCAATGGGTCTCCAATCGAGGAATTTTCGATGGCCAAGGGACTAAGACAGGGATGTTCACTCTCACCTTTGTTATTTAATCTAGTAGGGGAGTTGTTGAATTTATTAATACTGCGGGCTGTTTCTGAGGGACTATTTTCTGGTTTGACAGTTGGCAAGGAGGAAGGGTCCTTCAAGCTCACACATTTACAATTTGCTGATGATTTAATTATTTTCTGTGGAGCTTCGAAAACACAGATTATGAATGTGAAGAGGGTGCTCAGAGTTTTTGAGGTTATGTCAGGGCTGCAACTTAACCTAAAGAAAAGCAGTTTGTTTGGGATTAATATTTCCCAAGAGGAGGTTCAAACTTGGGCAGCTTCTATTGGCTGTTCTGTTGGGAGTTTCCCCTCTAACTACCTAGGTCTCCCACTAGGGGCAACTAAGAATGCATCTGTTATTTGGGAACCAGTAGTGCAGAATTTTCATACTAAATTAGCGGGTTGGAAGGATGCTACACTCTCATTAGCAGGGAGATTGGTTTTGATCAAATCGGTTCTGTCCTCACTGCCTACGTATTTCCTGTCTATGTTCAAGATTCCAGCTTCAATCCTTAAGGCTCTCAACTCGATCATGTCTAATTTTTTATGGGGAGGGGGAGGGGGAAATGGTTCAAAGAAGATTCACTGGGTTAAATGGGATGATGTGTGTAAACCTAAGAACGAGGGTGGTCTGGGAGTCCGGAACCTGACTAGTATGAATAGAGCTTTGCTAGGGAAATGGTCTTGGAGATTTGCAAATGAGAGACACTCTGTTTGGAGGAATTTTATTTGTAGCAAATACAACATTGATTCTTCAAGGTTACTGTTTGATAGTAAGGTTTCTCCTCAATCTTCTTGGCTTTGGAGATCGGTGGTTAACAATCATTACAAACAAGACTCCTTTGGCTCTAAGTTTCGAAGTTTATGTGGTTTTCCTGTTGGAAATGGTAAGCTTATTCGTTTTTGGTAAGATAGTTGGGCTGCAGACTATCCGCTTCAGTTTCTTTTTCCTAGACTGTTTTCGGTTTCTTCTAATAGATCTGGTAAACTTTGTTAGTTTGGGGAATTCCTTCCATCTGGCTGGGTTTGGGATGTTCAAGTTAGAAGAAATTTAAATGATTGGGAGGTTGAACAATGGTGTAACTTGGTGAGCTTCATCTCTCCCTATTCTTTGTCTAAAGATTCCAGTGATATTTTACTTTGGAAAGGCAGTGGGGATGGTGTTTTTTCAGTCAGTTCTTGTATAAAAAGTTGTGCTTCAGGATCAGATGATGTTTGCTTCTGGAATAACATTATTTGGAGAGGTTTGGTACCCCCTAGAGTTGAATCTTTAATGTGGCAGGTTGTGCTTTGTAAGCTAGCTGTTAAATCCGAATTGATTAAAAGAGGTGTTCAAGGTATTGAGGATGATTTATGCCCTCTTTGTAAATTGGTTGAGGAAACTTCCACGCACTTATTCTTTACATGTTCGGTTGCATGGTCTTTGAGGTAAAAAATTTTAAATTTTTGGAGGTTTAGTTCTATGTTTCCTGTTGATGCAAAAACCTTTCTTACTGCTTGGGATGAGTTGAAATCAAATTCTGCTATTTGGACTTTCATTCCTGGGGCTATCATTTGGACCATTTGGAAGGCCAGAAATTTTATTGTCTTTGAAGGGGGAAAGCTTGATCAGTTAGAATTATTTTTCTTATCACGAGTTAGGCTGGCTTCTTGGTTCCTAGCTAAGCATAAGGATGTTTCTATTCATAAGGATTCCTTGATTATGGATCCTTCATTAGCAGATTCCTACTCGCCCTACAGTTCTATGAAGTCTTCTTCAATCCCTTGGGTACCTCCCCCTTCTGGTTTTTTAAATTGAATGTGGACGCAACCATTAGCAGTGATTGGAAGGAATCGGGTATAAGAGGTATTTGGAGGGATCATTCAGGTTCAGTCTTAGGTTCTTTTCAAGAGTCAGCTGGTCCGGGACCTCCGACTATGATCGAACTTAAAGCTATTCAGAGGGGTATTTCATTATATGCTTCTGCTCAAGGGAGGGTTAAAGATAGGCTGATTGTTGAGAGTGATAGCAGGGTTGCAGTAGACTGTATTAACAATGTCAATTCATGCCCAGTTGTTTATGCATTCGTTGTTAGTGATATAGTTGACAATCTTAGATTTTTGGGGGGTTATAAATTGGGTTGCAAGGTCAGCTAATATGGACGCCGATGCTTTAGCAAAGGCTGGAATAGGCTAATTTTTATGTTGTTTGCCGTTTCAGTTTAGCATTTGATTCCTGTTCGGGTTGGATTTATAGACTGTTGTAAGGGTTGTTTCGAAGAGATCTATCTAGGTTGTAATCTTATTTTCTTTAATGAAAATCTAAGGCGCTCTTTTCCTCCTTCCGATGATTAAGGAGCTTTTTTTCAAGCTCCGTTACTCAAGGAGGTTTTTAATGAGGCCTTCTTATCTTATCAAAAAAAAAAATTGATTCTTGCTGCCTCATACCACATAACACTGCCTTTCCACACTATCGGTTGATCACACGTGCAGAGGAAGCTATAATATTCTTATACCATATGAATTTGTTCGGGAGATATTAGGGCTATTTCTCGGACATTGTTTTTACTTGCTGACGATCATCATAGTTTTGCTTTGAACAGGGGATGTCAACAGCATAAGTGTTGGATCTGGAACTAATATACAAGACAACTCCCTTGTGCATGTGGCAAAGTCTAATTTAAGTGGGAAAGTGCTACCAACCAACATTGGAAACAATGTTACAGTTGGTGAGTAAAGTGGCATTGGCAATAAATTTCATGTGAATTAACCTGATAAAAATTTCCTTCCATAAATAGGCTGACTGGAGCCTTGAAATCAAAATGAGCAGGTCATAGTGCTGTTTTACATGGATGTACTGTTGAGGATGAAGCATTTGTTGGCATGGGAGCAACACTTCTTGATGGTGTAGTTGTGGAGAAACATGCTATGGTTGCTGCTGGAGCCCTTGTGAGACAGAATACAAGGATCCCTGCTGGCGAGGTACTGTGAACTCCATTTTGTTCTTCTGAACTTAATTCTTATGGCCATTTTCTTGAAAAATATATGACGATCTTATTGGTTTAGCAAAGGCGCATTTGTCTCTTATGGTAGCATGTATGAATAAAAAATTAAAGTAGAAGCAAGCATGAGAAGATAGAAAACTTGGAAAGAAATAGAAAAAAATATACTTAGGTTCAGCTGGCATAAAGATAAAACAGGTGTTATGATACATTTCGGTAACATAAGATGGTTGTACTGCTTGTATCCATGTTTTGAGCCAGAGGGTGCTGAAAAAAATGTACCTAGATGTTTTACTTTAGATGATTGGGTGTTTAATCTTGACTGGTTTTTAACAGGTCTGGGGAGGTAATCCAGCTAAGTTCCTGAGGAAGCTAACTGATGAAGAGATAGAATTTATTTCCCGGTCAGCCACCAATTATACCAACCTTGCACAGGTACATGCATCTGAGAATGCAAAGCCCTTGGATGAAATTGAATTTGAGAAAGTTCTTCGCAAGAAGTTTGCTCGTAGGGACGAAGAGTACGACTCAATGCTGGGTGTTGTCCGTGAAACTCCCCCAGAACTAATTCTTCCAGATAATGTCCTACCAGATAAAGAACAAAAGTCATCCCAAAAATGATCTCTCTTTTCACGTTACTCTTTATTTGGCATCAAGAAAAAAATTGTTACTTTCAAGTACATGCAGAGGGATAATTTTTCATTTTTCTTTTCCGAATAATGTGGGTCATGTGTTAGGATAGAATCATGGCTCCATTTTAGCTATAAAACTCTACTTGATTGTATGGTCACTCGGAGACTCGGTTCATGACCGGAGATGCTTGTTTTCTACTTACAATTGCAAGTATAAAATAAGCGACTCGCTTTGCCGTGCTTAGAAATTGATTACAGATGATCCCCCAGAGCCTCTAGTAATTCTGGATTTAGAAGAAGAAAAATATAAAATGTGAAATAGTTTAAAATATGTATTTTTTTGCATTAATTAAGGAATAAATGCTCAAATTTGAAACAAATTGCATCCCTTTTTGCTGCTGCTATTTATTGCTTGAATTGGATGGATTTACAATATTTTAATGGCTCCAAACCTAAACAATCGTAAGGTTCCAGGAACCACCTTCAGTTCAGCTGCTAAAATGCCCACCATTACATATTTTAGGGTAAACTATACTGGTAATAGCTGAATTTTTAAGGCACTTTCATTTTAGTCATCAGCTTTGTATAACTTACATTAGAATCATACTGATGTAGAATTTTATTCCCAAAAAAGTTCTGATTTTTTTTTAAAATTGACTGATTATAAAAGCTGAATTTATGATGAGCGAAATCATCCTCGATCATCTCAATAGTGAAAAATTATATTCAAACATAATTTATTTTAAATTGATCTAGCGATTAACAATGACATAAAAAATTAAAACTTTTAGTTTTTGTTTAACCGCTTCCTTTTCTCATTGTTTCTATGGTCATTCGATGATATTTTTAGATATCACTAAATTACTCTTTTTTTTTTCTTTTATTAGATTCAAATTCGTCAAAAAAACCTTTCAAAATCCCAAATAAATCTTTATTAAAACTAAAAGTTAAATTCTAATGATCTTTTACTATTAATTGTTAAATTTTCAATCAAATTATGTTAATGTGACTATTAATTGTCAGAACCTTAAGACGTGTTGTAGAAAAAAACTTTAATGTCAAATCTGCACTTTTAAACGATTTTAACATCTCAAAGCAACATTTTTAAATGATAAGTAACGATTTTAACATGTCAAATCAATATTTTTAAATGACAAGTAACGATAATGATTGTAATGAAAGTTAATTACGAGATTAATAACTATAATACGAGCTAAAAATTTGGTGAGCAAAGTGAAAGCACCTCAAAAGTTGAATAATCACGTGTATAACCGAATATGTGATTTCGATGTTTGTAGGCGTCTTCATGATATCTGTTGCAGTCGTCTTTTGGTTAGGCCCGAAATTTGACTTCAACTTGAAATAATTGAGTTAGAGTCGCCACCGATCATTTAAAAACCATTTTAGGTTGATCGGACACTATCTTATATGATCTGTGTTTTACCAGAAATGTGTCAGGTTCGGGAATCGATTACGGTCAATTAATTTAAAATTTTAAAAATTTAAATTAAAGTTTAAGTTACCCGATTCAAATTACTTACCTTTGATCAGTTGGAACTTATCTACAAAGTTAAAAATGTTAGAGAAAATAAATAAATAAATAATAAATAAATCAAAAGAAAGAAATATTAAAAATATATAGAAAATCATAAAAATATTTAAAAAATAAAATAAAATAAAAACAAATAAACAAATAAAAAACAAATCAAAGGAAAAATAAAATAATAATAATAATAATAAATGCAAAAAAATAATAATAAAAAGTATTAAATAAACCAAATATATATATATAAGATGAAATTAAAAAAAGGTAAATAATAATAATAATAATAATAATAAAATGATTAAAACAAATATATGAAATTGGAAATAAAAATAAATAAAAAAAATAAAAATAAATAAATAAAGACCAATTTGAAAGAAAATGGAATTATGGGATAAAATTCGAGTTAAATGTGCGAAAATGAATTGAATTAAAAACACGGGGACCTGAAAGGGGTTAACCCCATTTTTATTAGAAACACGCGGACTTTGATCCCGGGTTGAGTCGACTCGCGGGTCTCACAACAGGTTATATAAAAGCCCATTATTTCCCAAAAAACCTTCATTCTCACTTTCTCTAAAGAAACACACGTCTTACCCCTCTCCATTTCCTCTCAAACTCCACCAGATCACGGTCACTCAACTCTGCCCGACCACCGCCTCAAAGCGTCCGGCCGCCACTCCGGTCGCTGCCTCCAACGGGCGAAAAAGATGAAAAGCCACCAAAATAATGCATTTCACACCCTAAACACTAACCCGAGGCCCAAAACCCCAAAAACCTTGCGAATCGGTATAGATCTAACTCGAAAGTCTCGGTCTTTACCTCTTTCATCGATGACCCTTTGACTTCCGGTGGCTCTCCGGTTGATGATTCGACTTTTGGCCTTCTATTATGTATTTACTTGCTTTGTGCGTTGTCTAGTCGTTTACTTTCGTTGTGCTTTTTGTGTTTGGTTCGACTGTTTTTGTTGGTTGATGGTTTACTGTCGTGACGATCTCTTTGTTGGTTGTGGATTCGTGGCTATGTGTTGTTGGTTCTCGACTCACTCTTGTTGGTAGTGTTTCGGTCTGTTTTTTTGTGTGTTCGATGTGTGGTTCTGGTTTAGTATTTTTATGGCTCTTTGTTTCGATAATGTTGTTTCGGGCCACTGTTGGGCCAACAGATTTGTAAAGGTTAATGGACCTGAAGCATGTAATAAAGCAACAGTAAATAATAAGCATATATAATATATGTTTAATATAATATATATAAATATTATAAACGTGTAACACATAAAATGTATAATGGACGAAAAAATATGTCTACAGCTGCCCCTCTTTGCCCATAGTCGTGTAACGGGGATATGGAAAAGATTAAAATACACACTTTTCGTTCGGTGGATTTGAAAATTGACTCTGATATCTCAATTAAGAATAACTCCCTGTCGAATTGTGTTGCGGATGACTCCTCCGTCGTGAAGTCGGGTATATCTTGAAATGATGTGGAATTAAAGCCGCAGTTCGAAATTTGGATCAGAATGTGGCTTCTTGTTGCCAAATTGTAGTCAACTTCGGTCTTCTTCTTGGTTTAAAGACCTTGGTTAAAAATTCGACTGGAAAGTAGTTCATTGACTCTTCCATGTGGTTGATATACCTTTGAGCTGAATGAAATCGAACTCGAAAGGTCTTTGTCGACATATGGTTTTTCTTGACTTAAGCTATGCGGCCGGTAAATGATTTCTTGTCATTAAGGCACAGCTAACCCAGGTCTTCTTCTCGATTTAAAACCTCTACTGCAACTGGACAGTAGTGTGGTTGATGTGTCATCGAGCCGAATTAAATCGAAATCGATAATTTTGTCGACAGATAGCCCTTCTTGCATTGAGCTATGCTGTAAATTTGATTTTCCTCTGAGTAGAATGTAATCGAACTCGAAGGTCTTGATTGACAGATAGCCCTTCTCGCCTTGAGCTATGCTGTAAATTTGATATGCCTTTGAGCTGAGCGTAGTTGAACTCGAAGGTCTTTGGTTGGTAGATAGCTCTTCTTGCCTTGAGCTATGTTGCAAATAATGTGCCTTTGAGCTGAGCGTAGTCGAACTTGAAGGTCTTTGGTTGGCAGATATCCCTTCTCGACTTAAGCTATGATGTAAATGATGTTCCTTTGAGCTGAGTGTAATCGAACTCGAAGGTCTTTTGTTGGCAAATAACCCTTATAGCCTTGAGTTATGCAGCAAATGATGTGCCTTTGAGTTGAGTGTAATCGAATTCGAAGGTCTTTTGTTGGTAGATAGCCCTTCTCAACTTAAGTTATGCTGCAAATGATGTGCCTCTGAGCTGAGCGTAGTCGAACTCGAAGGTATTTTGTTGGCAAATAGCTCTTCTTACCTTGAGCTATGTTGCAAATGATGTGCCTTGAAGCTTAGCGTAGTCGAACTCGAAAGTATTTGGTTAGCAAATAACTCTTCTAGCCTTGAGTTATGCTACAAATGATATGCCTTGGAGCTAAACGTAGTCGAACTCGAAGGTCTTTTTGGTGGAAGATAGCCCTTCTAGCCTTGAGCTATGCTACAAATATTATGCATTTGAGCTGAGTGTAATCGAACTCGAATGTCTTTTGTTGGCAGATAACCCTTCTAGCATTGAGTTATGCTGCAAATGTTGTGCCTTGGAGCTGAGCGTAGTCGAACTCGAAGGTTTTGTTGGCAAATAGCCCTTCTTGCCTTGAGCTATGTTGTAAATGATGTGCCTTGGAGCTGAGCGTAGTCGAACTCGAAGGTCTTTGGTTGGAAGATAACCCTTCTAGCCTTGAGTTATGATGAAAATGATGCGCCTTGGAGCTGAACGTAGTAGAACTCAAAGGTCTTTTGGTGGCAGATAGCCCTTCTAGCCTTGAGTTATGCTGCAATGTGCCTTGGAGCTGAGTGTAGTCGAACTTGAAGGTCTTTTGTTGGTAGATAGCCCTTCTCGACTTAAGCTATGCTGCAAATATTGTGCCTTTGAGCTGAGTGTAATCGAACTCGAAGGTCTTTTGTTGGCAGATAACCCTTCTAGCCTTGAGTTATGCTACATGATGTGCCTTGGAGCTGAGCGTAGTCGAACTCGAAGGTATTTTGTTGGCAGATAACCCTTCTCGACTTAAGCTATGCTACAAATGATGTGCCTTGGAGCTGAGCGTAGTAGAACTCGAAGGTATTTTGTTGGCAAATAGCCCTTCTTGGCTTGGGCTATGTTGCAAATGATGTGCCTTGGAGCTGAGCGTAGTCGAACTCGAAGGTCTTTTGTTGCCAGATAACCCTTCTAGCCTTGAGTTATGGTGTTAATAGTTTCTATAAAAATGGCTTCCCTTCATGGGTCTAAGCAGATCATAATTCTTCAGATGATTCCTTTGAGCGGGTCAGAACCAAGTAATATGATTTTTGGATGACTCCCCTTCACGAGAAAGCCATTGATAAATTCTGTCAGCCGAATATCTTCCGTCGTGGAAGTGAAATCTAGCTTGAAAATGTTAACTGGAAGCCTGTTACTCATTATTGAGTTAAGCTCATCTGGATTCGTTCTGAATTGGCTCTCGAACCCATCTGAAATTGATTCTGAGATCTGTAGATATGTCAAGTCGATTGAGGTGTAGTTTCTCACTGCTGAGTCAAGCAACCACCATCTATCTTTAAATGAGCTTTTG